TTTAATCTAAATCAAAGTCAACAATTAATTTCAACTATATATTTCATGAATCCCTCAACCTTTCAAGTACGGATTTCATTAATTTATATCAACATATGCTAAAATCTGATATTCTTTATTTTAGCACGATTGCATTTTAAAAAGTCTTGAGGTTCAATGTTCTGGTACTTAAACTATTCATATTATATTTCATATTTTACCTATTAATATTCAGTTCATGTTTGGTAGAGATTAAAATTTGTATTTAATTTAAGTTAAAGTCAACAATTAATTTCAACTACATATTTCATGGATCCCACAACCCTTCAAGCATAGATTTCATTAATTTATATCAACATATGCTAAAATCTAATTTTAATCTCCAGCAATCTGGAGCTTAATTCAAGTACGAGGGGAAACAATAGATGGTTGGAAAAAGAAAAACAAACTCTCATTAAAGAAGCGTGATAGTAAATGTACATTAGAACAACAAATAATGACAAAAAATGAAAATCCTAATTCTTGGGTGGACGAATATAAGCCATGATAGTGAAAAATGTCTGGGCCTTTGTTCGAGGGTAAAATGGGAAGATCCAAAATACTTCCCAAATGAACAGTAGAAGGCAAATTGACTCTTTTATATGATAGGGATATGGATACTAGTTTATTGCCCGTGCAATGCACGGGCTTCGTTATTTCGTAGGTAATGTTTAGTGTCCTTGAAAAGTAGATTTATACCTCTCTTGTTTTATGACTACTTAAACTGTGATACATATAATATAGCTTCTATTATGTACATGCTTGTTCAAAGTTAAGAATTATGGATACTCGAAACTTTATTATCAAACATTATGAAACTAGTAAGTAATTACAAAAGAACCTAATTTTTATTACAACCCTGCTATGGTGCCAGGGTTCTTGATGATAGGTCGTGCCCAACCTCTCACATGGGGGTTGGCCCCACAATTTTTTGGGAATATTTTTTTTGCGCGGGGCCCATGCTACAGTGAGGGGTCGGGCGCCATTCAGTCACCAACCCCCCTGGCCATCCAGTTTTATCGTTTTTATTAAATGGCAAATGTACTACGAAATAAACACACCTCAAGTCACCAATGTCCTATTTTTATGATACTTTTCTATGTGTAAAAAAAATTCCAGAAAAGTTGGACGTAATATTACAATTTACAACTATCAAATCCACGGAAAAAAGTGTAATATTGTACACACAAAAACAGGGAAACAAAGAATAAGTTCAAAATACACACGATTTGAAGCTCAAATCCATTTGAATGTATCCCAAGTTCCATCCTGCAAGCACGAACATATAAGGTCAGACTAATCAATATCTTAAAGTTGAAAAAAATTATTGGAAACAACTACCAATGATATAACGAACCATTTCCAAAAAGCAAAATTAAAATTTTAGCACTGCTGGATTCACATATATCACGTATGTAATTTAGATATTTAATTTATGCTTACCGTATTTGGAAGCTTATCGTACATGCTTCTCACCGTATATGCACTTTACTGTATTTACACATATTTGTTTTACCCATTTCATATAAATACATACAGTGAGATTAAATACAGTATATGCAACTAACATATACCAAATTGCATTTACCAACAGTTAGAAAAAAAAAATCAGTTTTTTTTTTTTTAAATCAACAAGACTATATGTCCGTGCTGAGCAGAGTAGATCACTCCTTGAAGAGTATAGATCTTGATAGGATTATCCTTAAGAAAATTATTTTATCTGGTTAAGAAACTATTTTTAGTAATGTTCTATGTTTTACATTTGTGTTCTTAATTAATAGGGATCTTCATTGAATAAAAAAAAAAGTTCCTTGTTACAAATTTTAATATAAATTTTTTTCCCATGTTTTTATTTATATTGTATTTTCATTTTGTTCCTTTTTAAAAGCATCGATTTAATTTGTTCCCTTTTTAGATTATTTTCTCTTTCTCTTTCCATTTGCATTTCATTTCATAAATTCATTTAAACTAAAACACAACATTAAAATCACATAATGCATTGTCATAATTGATAAAAATTAGTTAAAATATCATTTATCATATTCTCCGCTCTCTGCGGAAAATGCGGAAACGTTTTGGAACTTATTGATATTACATTTGTATATAAATAATTTTATTATTAATAAATGTTTTTTGAATAATTTTTGCAATGTCGTTAGAATACATATTGTCAGTGTCATCACATCGAGTCTATAGGTCAGTAGTCCAACGATAGTATCATCCAGTTTTCTCATTAATTTTAGAATGAAACTTTAATATTATTCAAAATCAGCGTTATATTCATTAAAAAAAATTATGACTTAAGCCTTGTCAGTGTCACTCATCGAGTCATTTTCTCAATTCTAGAAGCTTAACGTCTAAAACATCGTACATTAAATACATGATGTATAAAATGATTCAACATAAGTAATTTGGCGTCGAGGACTAAAATTATAGTCTAAAGTGAAGTCATTGTGTAAAAAAAGCAAAAACATATTTATTTATTTATTTTTCAAAAATTGAGCAAGATTTTGATTTTCTTTTACGACTATATTAATTGTAATTAATAATGTTTTCAAAGTGATTTACTTGTATATGTCCAATTATAACGCAACTTTAGCAAATTTTACTTAGATACTTGTATTTTTTTGAAAAAGTATGATCAGGACCATTTCACGCAAATTAATGGAGTTATTAAACAATCAAACTTCACATTTAATAAAACAAAACTTGTTTTTCCTGTATTTCCTTTTTTCCGATGAATAACAAAACTGTGAAAATCCCTCTTCTCTTAAAAGAGGGAATCATGTGTTTACTGATCATTTACGAAGCATTTGTTTGTTTCCCATTTTACCCTTCAATGCTATTTTAGTAATTTACAAATTGAGGGCTTAATGGTCTTCATATGTCCCTCTATCTTAAAAAGAATCTACCTTTTTTTCACCGTTCATTTTTGTCGGGTTGTTTTCACATTTAACTTGTTTAAGGGGCCATTTGAGTCCCATTATTTGTAGACTATAATGAGATGAATAATGTTTTTTTTTAAAAAATGAGTGGTTGAAAAGTTTTTGATTTACGTATAATATTATTTTATTGAAAATTGTGTGGTTAAAAGTAGGAGGGAGAAAATTTTAGCCCTTGTTTGAGCCCCATTTTTTTTGAAGAAATGCATTCTTAAACAGTATTTTGACATCATTTCAACCGCACATTCTTCAATAAAATAATATTATACGAAAATCTAAAACTTTTTCTTATTTTTAACCGCACATTTCACATCATTACACTATTTAAAAATGCATTTTCTTGACAAAAGTGAGGCTCAAACAAGGGCTTAATTTAAGGGCAACTTACAAAAATACCCTTAAAATTAGATGTGTTTTGAAAAATCATATGAAAAGTTTTTAGGAAGTAAAAAATATTGTATAAAATAAAAAAGTGACACAATGTCACTTTTTTTTAATAAAAATTGTGACTTTTTTTAAAAAAGTGACACAAACTCAAAAAAAGTGACCAAAAAAAAAAAAGTGACACGAACACTAAAAAAATTATACAAACTCAAAAAAAGTGACACAAACTTAAAAAAAGTAACAAACACCAAAATAAAATCATCCATTTGTGCAGCACCAGTAACCGCGTTCTCAACATAATCAGCATATTTAGGACAATTCAAGTGAGCATAGTGACGGTTCTTAACATAATAAGCATGTGCATTGTCCACATGCTTATTATGTTAGAAAAATATAACATATTATGTCATTTTCTTATCTTCTTCAAAAAGTGACAAATATTAAAAAAAAAAGTGACAAAAAATTCAAAAAAGTGACAATCTAAAAAAGTGACACAATGTCACTTTTAAAAGTTTAGTGTCACTTTTTTATTAAAAAATGACATACAATCTCACTTTTATAAAAAAATGATGTTTACCACTAAAAAAATGATAAAAATTTCAAGAACGCGACTGAAAAAAAAAAGGTAACGAACACTACAAAAAAGTGACAAAATTTCAAAAAAAAAGTGACAAATACCAAAAAAAGTGACAATTTCAAAAAAGTGACAAAAATTAAAAAAAAGTGACAAATTTTAAACAGTGACACACAAAAAAGTGACATACACTAAAAGAAAGTGGTGAATTTAAAAAAGTGATAGAAAACAAGAATGTGAGAAATATTAAAAAAAAAGACAAATTCAAAAAAGTGACACAATTTAAAAAAAGTTACACAGATTAAAAAAGTGACAAACCTAATCTTATGTTTGAAGTTTTCACAAACCTACAGGAACATTTGAAATGCCAGGATTTATATTAGTCTAAAGAAACAAACCAAAATTGGAGGGGGAAAGGCTACACCAGAATAATTTAAAAACAGCGTAGGGATTTCAAGATGTATAATTGAAACAATAAGGCATCACGACAATACAAATTTAAAGCTACGAATTCACATAGCAACACAAAATAAAACTTAATTCAAGTCAATTAAACTTTTCCCACCCATTAAAGCAATAACAAAAGCATAACAACAAAATACAATCACAGGTCGTCGAACCCCTAGATCTATTTCCCAAAACAAAATAGTAAATCATGTATGTTAATTAAATTAAATTGGCATCTATAGTGTGAATCTTCCATGAAATTTATCTCATGGTTGGTAGAATTATCAATACTTGCCCACATTAAAAAAAGTGAGGTCATCAGCCCAGAGAGTGCTGCAAAGGATTGTGACGGACAGTGGAGCTACCATAGACTTGTGAGAAATTCTCACCGGTCGGTGAAGGTTTAGAGACTCGCCGATATGTGCTCGGCGATGCCACTGCTCTATTTACTGCTTTTTTCTCAGTTTTTGTCGGTTAAGATAATGAAAATGGGAAGAAGTTGAAGAAACACCAATCGTTCTCTCTCTTAACATTTTGGGAGATTTTTGACGCATTAATTACGTTCTGTATTATTTAACTAACTTAAAGTGTATTATTCAATTTTGTTCCTTATGGGCCGTACTGGGCCTAATTTCCTCTATTTCATTTATCTCTTTCACTTTGGGTGGGATTGTAATGTACTGAAAGCCTAGACTATTCCCCGCCCCCAAAAATGCCACAAAAATTTTTCACTCAAAATCCTCGTTCTGTGCTATAAATTCACCTAAAACTCTTTGACTTCGAAGTTCTCCTATGCGTATTGCTCGCTGTTGGACAGCTCGTAAATTTTTGGGCCGGCAAGGAGGTATAATCTTGAAGAAGCCCAGATGCTCGTGCAAAAACTACACCAGTACCAGTTAAAAGGCTCGAATTCCGTATTTTTTTAGAGTTTGATTTTCGCTGGTTATCTGCGCTTCTGAGATTTATGATACTTGAAGTATGAACTTGAATAAGGGTTGAATTTATTGATATGAGCTGAAACGTAATTTATTTTATATTTTTGTTTTAAATTTTTAGAATTTGAATTTCCTCTTGAACTTGTGTGGGCAGGTATGACCATTTTACAGCTTTTTAATGCCAGTTCTGCTTCAGAAAATTCTTGATTCATAAAGCTGTTTATTTTTGAGCCATCCATTTGTTTTCCACCACCCATTTCCTTAACGCCCCTGTTGTTTCCTTTCTCACACAAAATCGCCTTCTCGACCTTTGGTGAAAATCTAAAACAAATTGAGGACATCTCTACAGGAAATTGAAGAGTCTCGACTCCAAGTATATTCTTCTCATACTCATTTTTTTTCTTTTGGTATTTTATTTAATTTTTTCGAACTCTATTCTTCTATGTTTGTTTCAATTTTTGTGAAAGTTTCCCAAAAATTCAGAAAACTTCACGTTTAGTGTAGTTTAGGGTTATAATCGATCGAATTGATGTCTTTATGTTTAAGTTAGGTTAGAGTCCATTGTTTCTTTTTTGGGGATTACGGTTAATATTTGTAGTCATACATCCAGAATTTTTTGGTTCGTTGTTGTTTGGTTGAGAGTTTATAGTGTTGGGCTTATTTATATATTTGTATACGTCGTGTTTTAATTTTTTTTTTCACGGTATGAGTTCTACTGTGCATCAAGAATTACAAACCTTAAATCAAGATTTTATTGTTTACTGTTTATAATTTTTTTGATTCCGTCTTGTTTCGCTTATTTTATTTCTTCTATTTATGTGGAAAAAGAAAGAAAAAATGTCAAGGATTTTGATTAGTTTATTAATATCTGATTTCTTGTTTTTCGCTTCTATGACCATTGATTATTCTATTATTATTTACTTTAAGGGGTTTCAGACTCATTACAGAATTTTTAGCATATTTTTTAACATTTTTTACTAAATTTATGTAACAATGTCCCTATTACTTGAATTGTTTCCCTAAAATTTTGCAAAAAGCTAATTGTAATAAATTTCTGGGTAGAAAGACAGAATTGAATCTGCATATATTGACCAGAATTTTTCTTTTTGAGCTATATAGTTTTTGAAATTCAAAGATTTTAATTGTGTTTAATGATTATCCATGACAATGATGTTGCTTGGAGTAAATGAATATAAACCTATCCAAGTATAGTTATTACTTATTTTGGCAAGTCTCTCAGCACATAGTATAACATAATTGTATGTTCTATGTTTTTACTAGCATGAAAGAAAAATGTAGTGACTTTCTATTAGAATCACTGCTCTGAGAATTTCAGTTGTAAATATGGGGTTGAGGGAGTGAGGTCCTTTTTTTTTTTTTTTTAAAGAAGAAGATAAACTCATTTCGGCAAGATAATTATTAGTAATTTTTTGAAGAATTGTAGAATTTAATAGATCCTCCTCTGAAGTTTGCCTTTGACTTATTGAACTTTGTTTAATTATAGGGCTGTAGAAGCAAAAAAAATTCTAAAACCTTGCGGCAAGTCCGGGTTTAATTGATTGTTAAAAAAACTTGGGCACTTTGTATGGAGGAAGAAGTTAGAAAAATCTTCCTTGTTTTCCTTCATTAGCTTGTTACTCATTACTCAGTGTTATCTATCAAATTGATTATATATTGAATTTATAGAATTTTTTCCAACATCCTAATCGAGTGAGTGTAAAATTAGCTTTCTAAATGATGCTATATTGCTATTAACTTTATGTTCGGATTCCTTATGAATTTTACATGCTGTTATGATCAATGTTTTGAAGTTATCTCATGCAAATCAATACGTTTTCGAAATATATTTTTTAATGATAATGTAAGTTATATCCACGTATTCATTGCTTGTGTAAAATCTTTAATCATAATATGAGGAAGAAAGTAACTTATTTTCCATTTTCTTTGTACTCAACTTTTGTCATTGAGGTTGACCATGGTTTCAACAAGGTATTTACTTCGACCTTCTGGATATTTTTTCTTTGTTTTTCACTCTTAACTTTCCTGACATGTCCTTTTTTTTTTTTTTTTATCCTATCTCCCTAACGATCAACTTATTTCCTTGAAACTTGATTTTTCTTTCTACAGCAAGCAACATGGTTACTCTTTAGAGACATGATAAAAGGGATTATCTTAGCTATAGTGATCGGTCCACCTATTGTAGCTGCCGTAATTGTGATAGTACAGGTACATTTTTTCTATAATAAGTAATTAACATGATTTTTTTGCTACACCTGTAATTGAGATTTATATTTTCATTTCTATCTCATTTATATAAATGTCATCAACATTTATAGACTGGGAATAATGACTTCAGCAATTATTGATGGAAAGAAAGGGATTAATCGTTTCAGTGAATGGTAATGTCTTCTGGTTGCTAAAAAAGGGTCCCTACTTGGTCATATATTTGTGGCTTTCATCCTTGTTCTGTCTCTTGTCATCATGACAGTTTACTCAATTTTTATTCCTCACACTTTTCAACAAATTCACGCCGGTAGGTTGGGCTCTAGTTATTTTTGGCATGGAAAAAAATTAGTATTCTATCTTAAATGGCCAATCTTTGGAAAAGTTGTGTATTGTTTGTGGCATCACCTGTGATACTTTTTTGGATTGCTCTTTTTGTTATTCATTAGTTATTTTGGCCAACAAATAGCTTCCCGTTGGAGAGCTTAGGGTGAAAATTGAGAATCTTGATTCGTCACTCAAATTTCCCTTGAAGAAACTATTCGTTGTTGATGGATCCACAAAGGTCAAGCATTAGCTATGTATGGATTTATTTATTTTTCTATATTGTAGTTGTTTCCCAACTTTCTTTTAATGGGTGCAAATTTTTTTAAATTTTTTTTTTTTTTAATAGACATGTAAAGTAGATCACTTTTTCTTATTTATATATTGGATTGGCTTATTTATATATTGGATTGGCTGCATTGTAACAAATATGGTCTTTTTGATGATGAGAAGCCACTCTTAGCCAAATCAAGTAAAAAAGTGTCGGATAATACCTGCTTTGATTCCTAACTTTTAAATATAGTAGAATTGGTGGCTTTTCCCCCTTTCTTTTATCATCCTCTTTTTGACCTTTTCAACAATAATTTTTTGCTTAATTCTGCACTTCGAATCCTTATTCCAAATAAATGTAGGAGTTGCCATATTTGTAGCCTTCATCTGGTTTGTCGTGTTCTGAGGACCAAAACTTAGATTTATGATCCAAGTATAGGATCATTTTGAGCCCAAAGGCTTTGAAAGTCCCATGTTAAAAGAGCATATCCTGATGAATTCTGTTGAGTATATGGGGCTGCACTATTGGGATCAAGAGAGGAAGGGAAGTAGGGTTCGGGTTTCAAAGAGTAATGGAATTATTCATGACGAGATGAATTCGCGGGAACAGTGTAGTGGACAGAATCTTGTAGTGAGGGAATGATTAATTAGGTTTCTTATGGTAACTTATTTTTGGAGTTAGCTGCTTTAATGTGTTATTAGTTGTTATCACTGCTAAATGTAGATATAAACTCCAGCTTTAAAGGTATTGAGCACTAAATTAGTAAATCCGTTCTTTGAGTTTGGAATATTTTGTATCTTTTGTCATCACTGTTTACTTCTTAAAACACCTCATGAACTTGGTTTGTGTTCACGAGTTCTTGACCAAACAATAAAAATGTTGTTCAAGGCAATCACTCTATCTATTTGTTCGCGTTTGCAACTCAGATTATGTGTGTGTTTTGTGCAAATAAAATGAGAAATTATTTAAATGGAAGTCTCCTAATTTTCATGCAATGCCATTTTGTTAGTGTGCATAAGTCCTATGCAATTATTCAAGTGATTGAATTATTGATGGAAGTGTGTACCTTTAACATGCTTGAACTTCCAGTAAATGCTGTTTAGTTTTTATTCACTTTTTCATACTTTATGGATAATTTTTTTTTTTCCCATTTTGTTAGGCATCTGGCCATACTTATGTTGAGGTGCAAAATGTATTCCAACTGTAGTTTTTCTTGTGAAAAGAAATATAATAACACCACTTCTCCTAGGATGCCTTACATATATAATATGTAGAAATAAAATTGTACCTTGATGTGGAACTTTTGAATTATATTGTAATTTAGGCAACATTCTTTCTTTTATACAGATGTTTGCATCGAAATTTTGTGATAGAGTTTCTTGTCAATCCTTGACATTTTTAAGACGTTAACATTACCTTCAAAATAACACATCCCGTGCATTGCACGGGCGAAAAACTAGTATAGATAAAAGAATGACAATGCTTTCACACTTCAATCCAACTTCTACCACTTGGTTATCTTACTATTCATTTGATACGTTTGATATACTTGGACATTTACTGTTCATCTGACACTTGTTTGACTAGAGAAAGCAAAAAGTTAAAATAGGTTAAAGACAATTTTCAATAAACAGATTTTTCTAAGTACTTTCAAAAATGTAGCCCGGTTGGAGCCTCGTTAAGCCCTTGTTTGATTATCATTCTTCTAAAAATTCATTTTTTTAAAATTTATTTTCAACCATATATTTTTCAATAAAATAATATTGCACGTAAATTCAAATTTTTTCTTTAATTTTTAATCACACATTCTCTATCAGTTTACTATTCAAAATGTATTATTTCCCCTCAAATGGGAATGAAACAAGGACTAAATTTATAATATATTTTTCTCTCTTTTCTTTTTAACTATATACTTTTCAATAAAATAATATTATACATAAATCAAAACTTTTTTTAATCACTCATTCTTAAAAAAAAAAAAAAAAAAAAAAAACACTATTCCAAAAATTATAACATCAAATAATGGGTGCCAAACTGCGGTTAAGAAATATAGATGTATAAGTTGGAATTACAATCTTACTCTTAAGTATAACAGAATGAAAAAAATATTTATCTATGATTGCAAGGGTACTTCTGGCAACGAAAATATAGAATTGAGGGTGTCACTGTCCTTTTCATTTTACGATTGTTGGTGAAATCATAAATGGTTTAAATTTTTTTCGACAAAATAAATAAATGACATTTTTTACATTTTTTTTAATTCCTCACAGTAAATGCGAAAAAGATTTCGTTTGACACACGCAAAGCCCTTTGCTTTGCAGCCTGCATTATGTAAATATCTGCACTTTTTTAGTTTCCAATGTAGAAGAGGAATAGATGCAATGCTTTTCTCCTCTCTTTAAGCCCAACAAAGTCACATAGTACCGAATCAGAAGTAACCAAAATGCCTGGTGTGGATTCATTCCCCTTTCTGGGTTTTCATTTCGTTCGGTCCTGTATGAGTATTAATGTCCTGGAGGAGTAGTTACTCAAGATGGACATTGTTTAAATACTTGTGTCTTTATTATTTGGTTGCAGGATTAACGAAATCGAATTTCTATTTAATAAGTTCTGAGTGTTAAATTGGAAACTCTCTATTGAATGTGATCTGCACTTTGTGCCAAACAGAAATTTGTACACACACACATATTTGCATATATTGTCCATGCTTATACACTTTATATAGGTACTGGGTTTTGTATTTAATATTCGATTATATGGTTTTGTGGTTCTATTATAATTATGCAATCCTTTGTTATTATTTTGAGTTGTTTTTCTTACATTTGATGTGAACATGTGATATTTAAGTTTGATATAATTATGATTTTCGTTTTTATTAGTTTCACCTTTATATTTGTTCTTCACTTGGAACAGATGAGACATGTCCATTTTGCATTGTCAAGTTTGTGTAATGATTGTCTTGTTATGAGTATGTTAAAATTGAGTTTCCACGAAACAAATAAACTTGTAATTACTTGCACAAAATTTAATGAAAAGTCATGCTATTATTGGGATAATCTATTCTAATTTTACACTTGTGTTAGAATCACATGAATAATTGTATATTCTTGTACTGAAGCTTCATGAAATTGTAGCTAGCTATCCTTTTCATCAATATGCTTGTGTACTTTCACATCAAGGATGAAAAGAATGCTTCAAGTGGTGAAAATATAGTGTCTTTTACTACAGTTCACTAGCTTTCTCTCCAAGTTGATGTTAATATTAATGAGTGAGACAATTGCAGTTAGCTTAGATTCAGTAGTCTCATAATAGAGATATTTATTGCTAATCAAATACACCTAAAGGTTTAGGAAATGAAGTGAACAATAGTTCAGTTAAATTTCTAATTCTATAATTTTTTTTAAACTATTAGAATCTACATAAAATTCATTGGCTTCTTAACTATAATATATTGTAATTGCATTTGAGATTGGGTTTTTCTCTCAACTGGATGATTACAAAATTTATATTTTGTAAGCTTTATGAATTATCGGAAGAAAGTAAGTGAACAGAGGAGATTGAGGGATAAATATAGTCGTCGGGAGGGGTTTATATTTGCCTACTTTTACTAATTATGTTAAAAGCTATAATTACAAGACTAATGTAAAGATTACATGCACAATTAACTCTAATTTCACAGCTCATGCCAACACTTCGTTAGACTAAAGATACTGGATTATTCTCCTCGAGTATTTGATGATATGGTTCATGTTACTTTTCCTAGCAATTCTTCGTTGTTGTGTACTTATAAATTGGCGGTGAAAAGAAATCTGAGTTTATTATGTTTGTAGGCATTCCTTATTTCGAGTTGCTCAAGCAATAACGCCTAACTCGAAATGTGGATTTACTCCAAGCAACTGTACTTTCATGGTTGTCGTCTCCACCTTTAGATGTTGAGGTATATCTTATTTTTATACGTGTTCTGTTTTGATATTAGAGAAAATTTTCTTGCATCTATATACAAATAAAATAAAACTGAGATTCTATTTGCAGATTGAAGAAAATTTTCATATATCACAAACATTTTGTTGGTACGGATTCAACTTTCAAGAACACCGCTCCGACTACAGATTTTGGATTAGAGATACTTTAATCTCATTAAACAATTTAGAATAATAGAATTATGAGAGCTATCACTCGGTTCAAAATCAACTTACTCAAAACCTTAAATTCCACTTCCACACATATATGACATACCCATTCAAGCACGACATTAACAAATAAAATCCTTGATAAGAAAATGGTCGCTGTTTCCGTCGCTAATATCTCCTCTCCATATAACACTTCCACTCGACCTTTTAATTGTATATGCTACTGTAGATTGGCATAAAACCCACAAGCACTGTATCTCAAATTAATGTTGTATAATATACAAATCAGAAAATTTGAGGGAATAGGCATTACAAAGGAGCCGTAAACACAAAAAATACTCTTGTAAGATTCCAAACAATTTAAAAACCTAAATGTCTCGTAAAGCAAGAAACTAATAATATGATGCGAATCCATACATTATCCCATAGTCATATATAGCTAAGGACACAGTACTTTTGATAAAAAGAGAGTTTCTATAGATTTCCAAGTTAAAATATACACCATCACACTCTCCTCCATCATTTTCATAAAATATACACAATCACACTTTCCTCTCCCTCCCTTTTCAAACTTTTTTAGAAAAAGACAAATGCTTTGCCTATATATACATCCACCCTTCGCTCACTCCACTGTTCCTCTTCAAGCATTTTCTTAAACATAATATCTCTTTCACTATAAAACCTTCTTTCACAACTCAAAGATCAAAAACACATGTCCTAACCTCCAGAAATATGAGGTTGATTGCCCATTTCACAAGAAACGCTTGGTTACCACCACCATCACCACAGACAAAATTCATTTGGAAGAATGGATTATGGAGGTAGTAAGGGCATTGGGTTCGATGTCAATACACGGCACATTGTGGTTGAAAATGAACAGACAAAATTTCTTACCACATTGGTTGTTGCAAGCGGGTTTGATACTTTGATATATCCAAGAACGAGCGACCATCATGCAAACGACCGACGCTTCGTAGATTTACCATCGAGGCTTTTGAACTATCTAAGCAGGAACATTCTTGTATGTCACAATATGAAGGAGAAAAATGCATCTCTTGCAGCTTCCTTTCGGGAAAAAGATCGGGAATCATTTCAGATCCTAGATCTCGAGGAAGAATTTCACCGTCAATTCGATATTGACAAAACGGTCTAGAGGCAGCTGGGAACAAGAAAGACGATCTGGGACTTGAACAATCAGGATTTATGTCAGCTGGAGGATAAAGAAATGGTGGAATTTCTCACCATTGTTGGTCAACTGGAGTTCTATTTAGGAAAAATTTTCACCGATTAGCATTCTGACTGTGATTTTGTTGAAATTGTTGAAGGATAGTTTCTTTTTTACTAGAATTTGATTGAAACAGTGTAGGATAGGTTGAAAGCGTAGTACTTTGACTAGGGCAGGATAGTCAAATCATAGGTTTCAATCTGAGCACAAAATTTCTTGATGATAAACAAAATAAAGAACAGAATGGTTTTTTAAATACCCTCGTTATCTCAACAGGGGAAGAGGTACTGATTTTTCAACATCTCAATCCTCGTCATGGAAAACAATCGTGAGTTCAAAGCTCCATCGTTGAAACTTGTGAACTTTCTAAAGAGGAGGATTTTTGTTGGCCATAACATCGACGACAAGAAATCCTATATTGCGGCTGCGTTCTGGGAGGCAGACTGGAAATTGCTTGATATTAGAGATATGGCAAAAGATCTTGCAATATATGGTGCTGAAAATCTGAAAGTTGAAGCAGCAGTTGAAAAAGCGCTG